TGCGTTGCGTTGAGTTTTTATTTTTTTATCGGATAGACTGGCGAACGAGCTGGCGGATCACCTGATGGTATGCAATCCACTCATAGACAACCGCAACACCAGAGAAAGTACAAGTGCATTGTCGGCCTTTTACGGATCGGAAGGGAGCATGGGGCTCCGGGGGTATTACGGAATTTCACAGTCCAGTTTAGATTGTGTTTATGATTGTACTAACGTGTGTCGTGTATGACGTTGGAATTACTATTCTGACCCGGTCGTGACTATTCATTGGATTGGAGAATTAATGTCGCGGGTCATCTTAACTATCAGTTCTCAATCTACCATGACGTCTGACGACCGGGTCTGAGTTTGTTTATGTGGTATTTAGTACTTATATTGAGTGCTGTGTCAATAGATTAGTATTCAGGGTTCAATATAATAAGGGTGATATTCGATGTATGAAAAAATATAAGAAGTATTGACGACCATGCTTGAAGGGATTGATTAAAGTAGATGAAGCGAACGAACTGTACCTTAGTCTGAACACACGTGGGCCATTCGACCGTAAACAAAAATCGTCTACGTTCGAATGGCGCAATGATGCGGTCTAACTATAATATATATTTTCGTATAGCTAACCCGGCGTCATGATCTGGAAATTGTTACACGGACTAAGAGGCTGGGTCTTAACGGTCAGAATATGAAATGTGAATATTTCAAAATGTATAATTATGTAGGGTAGATTTATATTATAAAATCGTGTAACTAGACGTTCTATTATTTCTGCTTATTTCAAAAGCATTAGCACTAGACGTGTCAATATGTATACATATATGTGTGGGATATATAAACTGATGGTTGTGTAAAATAACCTATATATATATTAAAAGTGAAACTCGTTCCCCGTTATCATGCCATAACTTGAGAACGGCTAGACCGATATGCCTGATTTTTTTTGTTGTTTATTATTTTGTTGTTGTTTGTTATTGCCAGGAGAAGGTTCTTATGACAGAAAAAAATCCAGAAAATCCTACGGAACGGGAGAAAACGGGATTGCGCGTACGAAGTCGTGGGCAGAAGCTAGTTTATACTATTACTATGGTGAGCACATTTCACGTGCTTTTTTAAAGTTAAAATGGTCATCAAAAAAGATAAAGGTACCTAGCTATTTTACATCTGTGTCACGTAAATATTTGTAGGTGATGAAAAACCTATTGTCCTGAGAAATTTAGTACAGTTCTGGGTACATATCGATTTTGCTTCTTCAATGTTTTATACATGTTGTTAGACAATATTCATAATATTTTACTTTACACCTCTTTTATTTATCGTTTGGAGCTCCTATTTCTTTTCTATGTACGGTTTATTCAATGATATAATCTCTTTTACATATTATCAATATCATAAAAAACAGAATAGCTTGGAAAATGTATGTAACATTTTCAAGTGTTCGATATTTTTATTTATTCAATCATCTTTCTTATTTATTCGTCTTTAAGGTGTCCATTTGTTAAACATTTTAACATTAGCATTGCTTGTAAATGAACGGATATACTTTAAAGATGTTTAAACTTTACGCTCGTTGATCTTTACAAAATTTTCTTGAAAGGAACTTAATGGTTTATACTGCCTTATAAACAGAGTAGTAGTTAAATAATTTTTTAAGTTCTATAATTTTACTATCAGCCCTCCTAATAGTCTAAGATCCGGCTGCAGAATCAGTGTACCCATCGAGTGTTTGCTGAAAACCAAATTTTTACACATATTCATGATTAGGAGAATTAATATCCACCAGGTTGCCTATCAAAATGTGGCCGCTAGTATTTTTAATTAAATTATTAATAATTCATAATCCGTAAGAAATTTCATTGACTTTTTTTTTCAATGAAATGTCGTCTACTTTACGGCAACATCTATAAAGACTCTGAAAAATTATGGTTGCCGTTGCGCACCTGGCCGCACCTCTTCGCAGCCAGGTATACACAGGTATGAATTTGTTACATTTATACACCCACAACGTACATTTATAATTTATATATCAAATTAAAGCAAATTTTTTTCTGTATTATATTATATACGGTTGCTTAATTAAATCTGGCCGCCAATAAGGGTTGCTGGCTAATAAATATAGTAAATATTAAAAGTAGAGTGAAAGAGAGCTAGCGCGTAACACCACTAGTCAGACGAGGATAGCGATTGCCAGCTGTCGGACGGTTTAAAGCCATTGCGCATGCGTCAGATTTAACATTTTACGTGCCTTATGTATGAACTCCCAAAGTGCCAAAGTGTAAATGCCGCAAGATTTTTATTATTCAACAAAATGTACGCTTCAAAAGGAAGTAGTGAGAAATTTATGAGAAGAATTAAAGGTTTTGACTCAACGCACATTCCACCATGCTGGAAATCTTTAAAGGAAAAATTATTGCGAACCATCTTTGTTAATTCGATGTGGTTAAATGCTACTGAGCGGGATTGCATCAAGTTCAGCGCGGAAAATAATGGCTGGCTGCTGTTAGATGGTTTTTTAAAACCAACATGGTTCCTGGGAGATCCAACTCCAGCGCAAGTTGAGAATGTGCTGTGTGATTCCACGAACAAGCCTTCCGATAATAACGACGATACCGATATTTCTGATGAAAGTGATAGCTGCGATGATAGTGTGACTGAGAGCTCCGATGATTCAGATTTTTAAAAAAGAGTCATGGAAGTATAATACAAATATATAATAATATACATTTTAAAAATTTATAATTTTCTTAAACTAATGATTGATGAATATGTAAAATAAATGTAATACTTGAATAAAATTAAATCTTTTTTCATACAGTACTTGTACAACACAATTTTTTTACATAAGTAACCTTGATTTTATTTATCATCAATATTCATTTTTTTTGTAATTTTTAAATTTGTCATTGACTTTTTAATTTTTTATTTTAGAAAAGAAAGACGTTTCTTTTGGAGTATTTATTATTTTGAGTCGTACCTAGTGACTAGTGGTGTTACGCGCTAGCTCTCTTTCACTCTACTTTTAATATTTACTATATTTATTAGCCAGCAACCCTTATTGGCGGCCAGATTTAATTAAGCAACCGTATATAATAATATACAGAAAAAAATTTGCTTTAATTTGATATATAAATTATAAATGTACGTTGTGGGTGTATAAATGTAACAAATTCATACCTGTGTATACCTGGCTGCGAAGAGGTGCGGCCAGGTGCGCAACGGCAACCATAATTTTTCAGAGTCTTTATAGATGTTGCCGTAAAGTAGACGACATTTCATTGAAAAAAAAAGTCAATGAAATTTCTTACGGATTATGAATTATTAATAATTTAATTAAAAATACTAGCGGCCACATTTTGATAGGCAACCTGGTGGATATTAATTCTCCTAATCATGAATATGTGTAAAAATTTGGTTTTCAGCAAACACTCGATTGGTACACTGATTCTGCAGCCGGATCTCGTACTATAAATAATCTAGGTGAATGTACGGATTCTAATTTTAAGGTTATTATACCATTAAGTAGGTTGTGTAATATTCCATGAAACTTAGAATGCGTCCCCAAAAGTAATTACGAACTCCATTATTATATTATTAGACATGGCCATAGCCTCGAGGTTCACAGACAATGAAACAGTTCGTGGTACACACGGCTACACATCGAGTTTTACATAACCAGTATAAACTGAATGTTAAATGTGCGAAAGATGGTGCGACGCGACACCAGGATAAACTGGTTTTGTATAGATTGATGTGTAGCCGTGTGTACATAATTAGATCATGCAGTAACAAGCAAATTGTGGAATAGGGAAGATCCAAATGATATGATGAAAATTTTGTGAATAAAATGGTAAAGAAATATAAAATAAGAGCAATTTCAACGTTATAATTTTATATTATGTTGATATTTAAGAATAATTACGAATACGTATAAATAAAGTTACGTAAAACGAAACGCATTTCAAATAATACCATCAGCGTTTCGTGACGTCACGACGTTTCCAGCAAAGAGTATAATAAGTATAGGGGAAGACACTGGCAGTATAGTCGACAACATCGTATTGGAGACTCGGTTGCCAAGGGAAGAAAAAAAAAAGTACAGGGGAAGTTACAAGTCAAGCTTTTTGAGGTACCTAAAATATGTGTGTAAAGCTATTAACGTTTCTAATAAAAATGGAAGTAGTGTTTATCAAAGCAGACTCAAGGACCAAGAGTTAGTGTCGACATAGTAGTAGACAGAGTCCAGAGTGGCCTAGCGTAGAAATAACTAAATTACTATGGTATGCATGGATCACAGTTTTTAAACTTTGTTTGCATTCTATTCAATGGTTTCTAAACATTGCAGTTAATTCAGATTAACATTCTTGACAACTAACTGAAATATTTGGAATCTCCGGAGTCCTATCAAAAAACGAATTACTCAGGTATGAATACTGATAGTAGTCCAGAACCCACAGCATATGTTATAATATGTTTTGAGCTAAATTCTATAAAATAAAAACAAAACTAAAAATATTGCATGTTAGGGAAACAATATTTTTAGTATTGTTTGTATATAAAAGTTTTCAACAAAATAAAAAACCAACAGCTGCAAATTAATTTACCCTCTTTACAATGCAAACTTTTTCGTGATATTTTTCAGCAATAATCCTGGCCATTTTGGTGCAAAAAATTGAGAATGCCATTAGAGAAATACTTTTTTTTTGTTTTAATGGTAGGTATTCTAATAGTAATGTGCCAATACTGATTTTCTAAGAAAGAAACCTTTTAGTTGAAATTATATCCATTAAAAAAGTTCCTTTTAACCCCGAATAAATAAAAATCAAATAAAAATGTATTTTTGTTCATTACTTTATTTTACATACAACTCTAATATATCGTTTTATTGATACATATATGTGAATAAACACATTATAGCTATATTTAATTTAATGTGCTATAGCACACAAACATTATTATAATAGCTACAATACGTTTATTACATTTTAAAACAATAAAGCAATGTTTCTTTATTAAACTATTGAATCGTGGGTTGATGTTGTCTTGTGTGTTATGCTGTTTCGGCTCAAAACGCGTGGCGTCTTCAACAAATCCTGAAAAAAAAAAACAAAAAATTTGATACTATGTTCGTAGCATCTTTCTACATTACATAAGGAACTTTAAATGGCAGGTATTAAGTTCTAAGATTAATTAACAGTGGCTTAGTGACGGTCTTACTTATTGTTGTCGATAATAGAGTAGTGGGAAAATCATCGAATGACTGCTCCCGCCAGGGTAGGGCGGGAGTTAGTGTCAGATTCTTACTGAATAAAAACCACTCCGTTCCTTATCCTGCACGTCGAGCCGGAGCCCCGGTAACCCGTTAGGTTTTCTGCGACTCCGAATCGGCATCGGCCCTGTTGGGCCCCAACTGGTGGTCCGATGGGTCTTTGAGGCACGCGCGGGACGCGACGCGCCGTACGCTCGGGTATTTTATAATGACTATAATATATATATGTATGACTATAATATATATATATATATGACTATAATGACTATAATATAATATTAAACATAATAATTATATTCTATAGGGTATAGATTTTTAATCATGAACGTCATTACTAGCTACAATAATCGAATAAATATTACGTTCTACTAAGTGAGTATTTCAATATTCTCTGTTTACATTATAGATTATAGAGCTCACAATGTTATAAGCTGGATTACTTTAGAGAGGGAGCTGTAACCACATTACGCTACGTGCTCTAACCCTTATTACATTTTAATTTACTTTTCACATGTTTACAACGATCATACACGTGGATCATTATATACGGGTTTATGTAATCAAATTGCGGATAAAACTCTCTCTATCCAACAATTTCCCGGAACTATTTTTATGGTCATTCTAGGAATTTCTATAATACAATTTGTCTATTATGAAGACGATCCAATCTTTAGAGCAATTCCTATAACTGTTCCAATTTCTTTTGCAAAGTACTCGTGTGAAAAGTTTAGCTCTAAGATAGCTTCTTCGACTGTTTAGAAATTTGTATGTAAATATGGTTTATTAGGTACCCGGTGGTACCCGGTTCCCTGAAAATAAGTTCTGAAAATAAGTTTGCCTTTTTAGGGCATTAGGATGGCTAGGAATTATTTGTATCTAGGTTGTTTTGTGTGTAGTGTATGTCTCTTTGTATCTTTCTGTTTCCGTATCAGGGACCTAAATATTTTTTATTGTAACTACTTGTTCTGATTGTAGTTTTATTTTATTTTTTCCCTAGTTCTTTGAAATAGATTATGAGGAAAATATTAGAAATACATTAGAGGAATGTCACAAGGATTATACTAAATAATCTTTCCGATGTTATCCCGTGTTACGCGGAACAATAGCCTATAACAACTAACAATGCTTCCACTCGAAATGGCTGTTCATTACGTGCTACTCGTTTGGCAGATTTCCAATTGAACTTTGACTGCGCCACGTTCGTGGGTACTTCACTATTGATTCCATTTCATTCAATAAATACTTTTTGATAGTCGATTATTTATATGACTGCTGTTTATGGTATCAGTCACTATGATACAAACTAAGTAAATAACGTTTTTTTTTTACTTTAACTTTGTGTAGTAAAAAATACACTTTTAAAACCACAATATCGAGTTTAGAACTTCATACATTGAAGTCGTAATAACAATCAATTACTTCTTAAGAAGAGAAACAAGAAATTTCTCAAAAAGACAATAAACACGTACTAACAATAATAGTACATAAAAGTAATCCACAGTTAAAGTGCATTTAATTCCTAAAATACATTTGATTTACAGAATTTTGAAAAAGCAATATCTATTGAAAGCAGCAACTAGCCGACTATAAAATTACCTTCAGAACCTGAAGATGGAATGATCAGTCGCATATTATATGAAGTCGGTTAAAAACTCGTCGAATTTCACTATGATGGCAATTTTATTATTATGTAGGTATAATGAAAAATATGAAACACCTAATACTACCGACGTGCGGACATTTTTTTTTTATGGCATAAGCCGGTAAACGATCAGACGCATCACCTGATGGTAAGCAATCGTCGTCGCCCATGGACACTTGGAACGCCAAAGGCGTTACAAGTGCGTTACCGGCCTTTTGGGGATTAGGAGTTTGAGGATCGTTGGGGATTCAGGAATTGGGGAGATTGGGGAAGGGGAGAGTAATTGGCCTCCGGTAACATCACTCACACGACGAAACACGACGCAAGCGTTGTTTCACGTCGGTTTTCTGCTCGGCCGTGGTATCACTCCGGTTGAGCCGGCCCATTCGTGCCGAAGCATGGCTCTCACACACACTTCAGAAATACATAAAGGGCCGACATGTTAATTTTTTTTAACATCGTTAAAGGTGTGTGTGTGTGTGTGTGTGTGTGTGTGTGTGTGTGTGTGTGTGTGTGTGTGTATTACACATGCTTTAAAATAGCATGCTAAAGGGGGTTCTATTGAGCTTGCACAAATATTTTAAAAATCGATCGCCTGTCCATTCGCCAGCACGCCCCAAATGAACGTGCTAATTTTGAGCAACATTCCGGCACACAGGCTACTAAGTGACAAGCGCTCAATTAAAGCATGCTTTCATCTTGATATTAACATGTGTAACAGTACCTACAGATTTTCAACTATCGTTAATTTTGTAGCAACTATGTTGTTTCATTCGAAAAATCACGCCATCGAGTCTCCAAGTTCCAGTGACTGCGTTGCACGTTGCACTAAAATTTAGCTCCGAGAAACAACAAAATTGTCGATCACTGGATTTAAAGCTGGCGTGGTACGTGAACAAAGTGTAGCGATCCGACACTTTCAGCTTTTAGCAATGACGGACAACGATTTATATTGTTGTAGTTACTTTTCGATTGCTTGATACAAACAATGTCGTCTTTGGAGAGTATTTTTTAAGATCTTTACATATTTATATCAACACTAATAGTATAAAGAGGAAAGACTTGATTTTTTGGTTAAATTGAATAGGCTCCAAAGTAGAGGACCGATTTCAAAAATTTTTTCACTGTGGAATCCTACATTATCAATGATGAACATAGGCTATATTTAATTAAAGAAAAAAGTTAACCTTTCAATAATGTAACCTGTGAAAAATGTAATTAAAAAATCTCCTTATATTGCTTAAGCGTTTGACTGCCAATAGAAACTGTTTTCAAGGACTCATATTTAGTTGCATCAGAATCAGGGATTATAAAGAAAAAATATGAATTCAATTAACTAAATATTGTTGTTGAATAATCACGTTAATTACTCACAGTCTATATTTATGTATGTATGTAAGAATATTTAAGTATTTATATAAGAATGCATGTATGTATATTGAATTGTACTCGTGTGTAGGTATATATATTATAATTACCTATGAATATTTATGTTTATCTCTTAAATATCAATCTGTGGATCATACAAAGACTTGTTCCGTGCAGGAATAGAACCCGCGACACGTTGCTAGGCAGCTGGTTGCTCAACCACCGCGCCAACCATGAAGTCTTTCAGAAAATGAATAACATTTTACAATAAACATAACCGAATCAATTCTGATGAGATTAGTAAGACGAAATCGCAGGAAACAGTTAGTGTATATTTTAACAAATTAGATTTAGACACATTACGAACTCTTTTAATTTGGTCTACATAAGGCAATTCACATAGCAACGCGTTTGAATTTCCTATATTTCTTCAAGGCTATTTGAAAGTCGTTTTGTCTACGAAGTATTAACACGTGTTAACACTAAGCTCGGAATAATAAATATATTTATTATTATTGTCTTGTGGTCAATCTCAGACTAAGCTAATTGTGTCTGACTACTTCTTCAGCACAAAATGTGATATGATAACATAGTCGTAGGAAATATAATAAAGCACAGATGTGTTTTATCGGGTCGTAAAACTGCACCAGACCGGACGGTGGCAACGACAAACACTTGTATGCAGACAGATTCATATTCACTTAAAAGTAGTCTGTGAAGCGATTCTTGACTACGATAGTTTATTAGTGGAGTCAGCTTTACAGGGCAAGGAAATGGACGAGCTTACCTCAAGACGGCCTTTAGTAGAATCGATGGGGTACTCTTTATAAAATAAGTGTAGATAAGTATTTATGTATATTTATTTTCACAGGTGACGTCATTACTGTTTACGTAATACAACCATTTCAATTTAACATAATTATATGGTTTCACAATTTTGGCAATCAACGTATCGATATAATCAATATATTATAACACAGTTTTAGGTAATATTAGTAATCCATAAGCTCTCAGCATTTGATAGTTATAGAGTTAAAGCATTAATATTAATTGTGTTGCTAATTCCACTAAAGTACTATCCTGTGTATATTATAGTGAGTTGTTAATAGCGAATTGTTGCTAGCTTACAGAAGTGCACTATTTGTAAATAACGTAATATAGTTCGTTCAGTAACGTTTAGCTAAAAAGGGGATTTAGAATATTTTATTTACTTAAATTGGTCAGATAAGTATCCGTTAGAGGTTTTCGAAAACTACTGAATAAGTCCCGGGTAGCATTCCCTAAGTAATGACCTCGCTGTTCTATGCATCTTCAAATCTATCAACAACTTCGCCCTCGGTAAAGTTCAAGCGATCCTCCCAATAAGTTCTAAGTTGCTCTTTACTTACTTTAAACGCTTGTCGAAATTTCCGGGACATTAGACTGTAAAGTATTGGGTTCGCAGCTGTAGACATGTAGCCATTATAGCAGAGGTAGTTGACAATCTTCCACACCTGAAATATATTTTAAAATTTTACATATAAATACGCTATGTAAGTATATTTCTTGTTTAAAATTTACATTTTTATTGCACCTCGTTGATATGTTGTGAGATTAAGCGTGTAATATTAAATAAGAGTTTTAATGATCGAGTCCTCTAGGGATGTGCACCAGACTGTGCAACTGTATGTTTTTGAACTCTAATTACTTAGCACTTTGCATGAAAAACGTTTATTCGAAATAGCTTGCGCTGCGGTCACGACTTCGTTTGATTGAGTTTTTACACTGGTCCCGTAGGACGTCGGAACAAAATGTAACATTTAGAGGTACTTTTTACAGAAACAAGCAGATAAGTGTCTTTCCACCGGAAGTGTCTTCGATGTCCATAGGTCGTCACGTATGAAGATCCAAGTGTAGTTACTTGCGGGACTTGGGAATAAGGAATTCAATAATAATGAGACTATTTTTTATTTTAATCAGTAATTTGTATGATCAGGAGGTGCTATTTGGAAAATGTTACACCTAAACATGGATACAACCATTACATTTCTATAGCATTATATTGAGATATATTTCTAGTAATATAGCCAATTTAATAATAAACTTTTAGTTTCAATAAATAAAACTAGAAAGATGAATGTATCAAAGTATAATTTCAAAGCGTTATTTGGACACAATATGCGAATTTTCGCCTTATGAATATTAATATTAATATATTATTATCAAAGTTGGCAAAGGAGCCTGGAGACTCGGCCTTGGTGACTTATGACCTGTAACTGTCCTATTACAAGGGCAAGCGAAGATTCCTCTCCGTGTTCAAGTATGTTATTATAATCCAAGAGAATTATACGGAATCTAGGGTACACTACAATATCTGGCGAACTGGATAATTTCATCTTCTTTGATACTAGCAGCCCGTCCCGGCTTCGCACGGAGTAGACAATTATTTATTTTTGGAAATTTGGATTGTTGTAGTGACATAACTACAATAGTTAGACATATGCTACCGCGGAGTTTTTTGTAGACATTATGATGTTCTTCAATATTTTTGTACATTATTTTATTCTATCGCTAACAGTTTCGGCAACGCATTCGACGAAAGACATTTTAAGACTCATTTTCTACACCTTCAAATTTTACCAAGGATCCCTAATTTTTTGAATGTAGCATTCTATTGGTGAAAGATTTTTTTAAATCGGCCCAGTACTTTTTGAGCCTATTCATTCATACAAATCTTTCCTCTTTATAATATTAACTAGCGACCCGCCCCGGCTTCGCACGGGTGCAATATGCATGTATTATACATACCAACCTTTGTTAAGAATCACTCTATCTATTAAAAAAAACCGCATCAAAATCCGTTGCGTAGTTTTAAAGATCTAAGCATACATACGGACATACAGCGAAAGCGACTTTGTTTTATACTATGTATTGATATAGATTTAGGCGATATGTGGATTTTGTTCAAAGTTAAAGTTAAATTACACATGAGTATTACTTATTATGGGGGTGTAAGGGGCACAACACCATCTCAGTGCCCCAGTCAACCTCACCTGCTCGTGGTACATCCTGCTGACTAACGGACGAGGCTCTGGCGACCGACACATGGCGGAATAACCATGCTAAGTAGGCGTAGCAAAATTTCAGACTAGTGACGGGGAGCAGCGTCACTAGTGCGAGGAGCTACGCCCTGCGATCACCAACCCGCCTGCCCAGCGTGGTGATTATGGGCATTACCTTATATGGCACGGCATTTCAAAAAACGGCCCCTAGTTCCCGGTCGCCCCGCTATTCCTGGCCAAGTCGGCGGCCATGGTAACGGCGGGACAGGGGGTGCTAAGAATCCCCGGGCTACGAAAGGCCGACAACACCAACTGACCCTGGCTACGTACAACGGACGCACGCTACGGCTCGAAGAACACCTGGCTCAGCTCGAGGTGGAACTGGGGAGCATGAGGTGGCATATTCTGGGGCTGTCTGAAGTCCGAAGACAGGGGGAGGACACAGTGACCTTGAAGTCTGGCCATCTCATGTATTTTAGGGAAGGGGACCAACCATCTCAAGGCGGCGTCGGGTTTTTGGTCCACAAATCCCTCTCAGACAGCGTCTTGGAGATCTCCAGCGTGTCGACTAGGGTAGCGTACCTTGTGATAAAACTTACTAAGAGGTATAACCTAAAAGTCATCCAAGTGTACGCCCCTACCTCGACATATACGGACGAAGAAGTAGAGGAAATGTACGAGGACATTTCTAGGGCCTTGCATACCACCCAAAAGGCCCACTTCAACGTTGTCATGGGGGACTTTAACGCAAAAGTGGGAGTACATATTAGCGGCGAATCGGTAATAGGACCACACGGGTTTGGTAGCAGGAACCATAGGGGGCAAATGCTCGTCAACTTCCTGGAGAAGGAGGGGCTATTCTTGATGAACTCCTTCTTTAAGAAGCAGCCTCAACGGAAGTGGACGTGGCGGAGCCCCGACACTATGACTAAAAATGAGATAGACTTCATTATGACGGACAAAAAGCGAATATTTAGAGATGTCTCTGTGATCAATAGGTTCAACACAGGAAGTGATCACCGACTGGTACGAGGCACTCTAAACATCGAACACAAATTCGAGCGTGCCCGTCTTATGAAGTCTACGCTCCGACCTAATTTGCTCCAAACTGTTGTCGG